ATTCAAGAAGAAGCTATTAATTTAGCCAAAATTGCTAGCACTAAAAAGATTACAGACAAACAAATTATCTATATTATTAATATAGTAATTATCTCTACTATTGAATACTGCATCCATAATATTATAATCTCTCTCTCTATATGCAACCAAATTCTTAGCAAATATCTTACTATAGCCAAATACAAAGTCTATCTCTCTTATTCTACTCCTAACAGTACCCTTCTTAATTACAATCTTTATAATATCCACAGTATTTAGGACATCCAACTACAATGTCATATTAGCAATTTTCTAAATTGAATCAACAATAGCTCAACACTTGGTACTACTACTTTTATCTGACTCCAGCAACTTCAAAATAATCTTTGGTCTACTACTAATATATTTTCACATCCATATCTGATTATTGATGGCCCAAACAAACACTTTACTACCTTTAAAATTATATAACTGCTGAATTATCTTCAAATCTCTATACATTTATACTCTAATTTTTCATAGCCTAAAATTATAAATAATAGCAAACACACCTTTTGAAAACATTTTATCTAATTACTCCAAGTATAATACTTTTAAACAACAACTTCATCATAAAAATATTCTCTATCTTAAACAACTTTGCTTTGTGGACAACAACTCTCTCCTAGACTAGTCATATTTATCTTCTCAACTCTTACATATCTCCAAAGAAAAAAACTACTCTGGTTTATTTATATTGAAAATTTTATTCTTAATAATAATATTTATCATACTATTACTTCTCATCTCCAACCTACTGATATTAATCTATTTGCATATCAAACTAACTCATTTTCTAAAACTGACAAGCCTTGGGTATTATTAACCTATTTTAACAAAAACATCATTATTAATCAAGTCCAAAAAACCTTTTCTCAATCTAATAAAATCTCTATTACACATTGGCAACACAATACCAATACTTCTACCCCATACTACTATTCTTTACCCCCAATTTCTTGCACTCCTTGCCAGGGTTGCAATCTTAACTCCCATCATATAACTAGTTGTTGCACTCTAGAAGTATCAACTATTCTTTCTACTCACTTTCTTGAAAGAAAGAAAGCTAACAAGCAACTTAACTTTAATGCTAATTATATTAACCTTATTTGCTCTACAGATATTAAACATCCTCTACATATACTACCTCTGCCAACTATCAATATTATTAATTTAATTATTTTAAATATTTTTTATAAAAGTGAAGCTTCCAAAAAACTATTTTATATTGCACTTTCTAATTTCTCTCAACATCATTTTATCTTTTACACAGATGGCTCTGTAAAACAAATTAGTACTAACAATTGCTCTATAGATATTGGCTGGGTTCAAGTTTATAATAGTCATATTATCTAAAGCTTTTCTGCTCAAATTTCTAATTGGCCTTTCTTCTATAAAGCTGAACTAATTGCAGTCATATTTGCTATATCTACACTTTCTTGCAATTCTCTTGTCAAAATCTTTACTAACATACAATCTATCATTTCTAAATTCAACAAACTTCAATCTCTTTCACTTTACTCCTCTACACTCTTTAAATTTAATACTTGGCCTATCTGGTACACACTTTTTAATATATTAAAATCCTTTAATATTCAACTTACTTTTTATAAAGTTCAAGCCCACTTAAATGATCTCTTTAACAACTTTGCGAACCTGCTTGCAAACAACTATTCTATCTCATCTATTCTACAATTTAATTATACAAATCTCTACAATCCATACTTTACTCTTTTTTAAAATAATACCTAAGTTAAAAGCTCTACTAGATACTTTATTAAAACAATTTGCAAAGTACATACTATTGTATTATAGTTTTCACAACAGCATGCTCAAGAATAGTTACATTTCTCTCACTTAATTGACTAGCAAGCCTCCTGGCTATACTTCAACAATAACCAAAAAATTTCATATAATTTTACCAATTTCAAATTAAATTATGTAAAATCCTTTAAAATTAAATTACTTCTAAATATACTACCAACTAATTTTTATTTTTATTTCATATATCCTTTATATTTACATCTCCTATTTGCTTTTCCTGTAATAGCCTAAATACTCCTTCTTACTGGTATACATGTCCTAATAATACTCTTCTAATTCAAAATATTAATACTTCTATTCATGAGATTATTACTAATACTAGCCTTAATCTTACTTTATATCAACTTAACAACTTAATATATACGATTTCTTTTCACTTTTTCTTTAACTCTTATCTTCTATTTTATATTCTTATTCACTCTACTTTACACTTAAAGACCTCTTCCCCAAACTCTGAATTCAAACTCTAAATTTCTCTGATATTTCTTATTCTCAAACCTCACAACTAATTATACAAAACTTCTTAAAATTTCTAATCTTACTTACAATAATATATGAATCCCACATTGTACAAACTTCTTACATTGAAAAAAAGCTTACTAGATTCTAAATGCACTTTACATCTAATACACCACTTTATCCCTCTTCATACTAAAATTATAGAAGAAACAAAACTATTTTTACAATTAGCTGTCCTTGTAGCTTTGCTAACCACTTATATTCTGAATTAATATTTGCCTCCCTGTAGAACAGACTTCTTTAAAAATAAACATTTGATTTACTATATAAATTAAATATAGTATATCTATTAACCATATTTAATCTATCCAAATCTAGATAAGTTTTGACTACTCTAGTAGGTTTAGATTACAGATAATTTTGTCTAAGCTTTTATTCTTGCATATAATTTATATTTATATGTTAGTATACAAAGTAAGTTTTTATCTAGCTTTATATAATTACTTATATAAATTATTAAATAAAGATACAAGCAAGACCTTACCTTAATATCAAAAAAAAAAATATATATAATGTGTTATATAAATATTATGATAACTTGTATATTTACTATTCTGTAGTCTTTTAAACAAATAAATTTTTTGATTCTATATATATTGTAAGGGGCTCTAGTTGTCTGATCCTACAAAATTTATTATTAATATTTTTATTTTTATTAATATATGTATGTATGTTTGATTATTTAGCTTAGTTATTAAAAATCTTAGAGGTCTTGTTACTAGGATAGATTCAAAAGGTTAGATAAATTTGCTAAAGCAAATTTATCTGCCTTAACTGCGTTAGTTATTTTAGTAGCTTTAGTAAATTAATTTACTTTAATAAATAAATCCAAGGAATAATTTGTTTATTTTTCACCTTGTAAAAAAGTATAAAAGCAAAGTATCTCTGTATAAAAATAAAATAACTTAGTTGAGTTAAACTATTTGAAACCATAATAGTATAAGAAATAACTCTAGTAGTTTTTACTTAACTTTTAACACCATACTCAATAAAGAGACCTATTGTTTTTACCTTTATTCTTGTTAAGTTGTATTAAATTATAAAGCCTAAATTGAGTCGTAATCTTTGAAATTTGAATAGAAGTATTAATTTTAAGTTTCTTTGTTAACTCTAAGTTTCTTCTAATAATTAACTTTTATTAGCAAAATATCATAAAATCTTTCCTGAATTTTGCTTTTATTATATTTTTAATTTCTGCTTATAATAAGAAAGAGAAAGCATTGACTAGTAATTTAACTTTATTTATAACAAAACAATAATTGATCAAACCCTAATCAAACATTATTATTACTTTTAATTCAAATCCATTATAATTCTGTAACTCACATAACAATCATTAAGAAGCCTAATACATACCATAAATATATACAAAATTGCAAAGAAAACTAAAAAAAGATTATATATATTTGATTTACTAATTCTACTTCAAATATCAAATTTGTCTACAATAAACTATGAATTTATATAATACACTACCTTAAATTTATCTATTAAAAATAAGCTATTTCTAGAAGGTTTAGTTTATCTGTTAATAGTCTTTAATATTATTTTTATTGCTACAAATTAATTAATTGCTAATCTGGATAAAATTGGCATAAATTTATTATATAAATTTGGAAAAAAAATTATCAATTTACTATAACACAGTAAAGAACACTCAAAAATATCAAAAAGGCAAAGTATAAAAAAATGTTGATAACTGGTTTTTTATTATATAAATACTCTAATTTAAAAGTTCTAGAAGCAATTTATAATAAAAAAATAGTTATTATTTTGTAAACGAGAAACTTTACTTTAGACTCATGTCAGATTTACAGCTACAATAAGTAACAAATATGATTGTAATTATGATTAATGCAGTAAAAAAAAAAACACAATACAAATAAAAATAGTGACAATATAGGCATAAACATGATATAGAAAGAGAAAAAAAAGTATAAAGACCAATATATACAGTATATGTAGATATATATTACATTTATTATAGCTTATTATGAGTTTATAATATATTCTCCAAAGAAAGCTCTGCCATTGTTTACTTCCAAGCTCTTGAGAAGCCACTGATCTAGTTTGAAATTGTCGAGATTTCAGGTATGTTAGTCTCATTAATTTCGCCTTCCTGCGACTGTTTGAGCAACTCTTGTTGCATTTGGATCACAGACATTTTATTTCTTAAACTTGCAGTTCTGGCATGAAACATAGCTTCTAATAAGCTTTTTACTTGAGTTGTGAGTCATTTAACTAATCTCTTCTTCTGCATTTCTTTGTAACACCAACTGGTAATGAATATCTAGTAACTATATATGAAAGTATGAGAAGTATAGTAAGAAGAATAAAAGAGAGAATCATAAAGGAAAAGGTGAAAGTGAAGGAAAAGAAGAAGTAAAATAGTGCAATAAAAAGAAATAAAGGAAAAAAAAAAATAAAGAAACAAAATAAAAGAAACAAGAGAAATTGAGAAACAAAAAGCAATAGAGAATAAAATAAGATTAAGTGAGGATGCGAAAGAGAAAAGTCATAGAATAAAA